GCCTGCTAGTTAAACCGTGTCTGAACTCGTCTTAAGTGCAGCGCAAATTAAGATAAGGGACTTATACAAGGCACGGGTCCGTCAAGTTAAACGCGGAAGTCAAATTAAGTAACAAAGACATGGCGTTGGCTGTTGATCGCCTTTTTTAAACCTCGCGCTGCTGAGTTTGCAGAATTCCCCGCTAGTCAACCAGCAGTCGCTTAGCTTCTATTTTATTGTGGCTTTCGCGCATGGAGAAGTCTTCCATCTGCGCGGACGATTTAATTTTAAAGAAAGAGAAACGAAAAGAAAAGAAAAAAAATGCGGGTGGACATAACATTCCCCCGGAAAAGCGAGGAGCTAGCATAGCTTATCGGTTTTTCTATGACCACCTTCCCTATAAACGAAAGCCACTTACAATTTTTAGTTTAACTTAATATATCTTAATATAATAAAAGGTTAATGAGGAAAGTCATCTGGTGCGAATATTTCAATTTAAATTTATATTTTTTTTTCGCACTGTATTATATACTGACGGATGGTTAATCGTCTTCGCCTCTTGATTTTGCGAAGCCATGTCAGGTATCACTATTCTCCCGGCAGTGATCGAGCTAGCATTGCATTTAAGAGATTTGTTAAAGAGAGAAAAGAAGAAGAGATGTACACTGTTGAGAAAAATTTCGAAAAATACGGTACCTGGTACTAGATCGCCCTTGCCATTTGTGGAGAAAAGGTTAGCAAAATTTGTAATATAACAAGTATATTCCAATCGTTTTATCTCTTGCCAAGAGATTAATTTATCTGTTATTCCTTTTAGGCGTATCAGATGATATCGGGTGCCTGGCAATGGAGATTGAATGGCAGATCATTCTGCTTCTGTATTATGTATGTATTATATATACATAAGTGAACATATATACAAATATTAGGAAAAATTTTCCTACTCTCTTCTTCCTTTTGTTTTATTTTAAATAACAATAAAAAAAGGAAAATTTGCTTTTAATTAAAAAATTTTTCATAATTCCTATGCCTTTTCTCCTATTCCATAGTAATTCAGGTAGTTGTGACGGTAGTATAAGTAGTAAATAGGAATATAATTAATTAGAACTTAGAAAATAAGTTGAAAGAGAAAATAGAAAAAAAAGGTAAAAGCTTATTTTAAAGAAAAAAAAAATACATTTTATAAGAGTTTATATAGCACGATCAATGGGTATGTGTGAGTACGTGTGCAGCGGCTCTATTATAATTGCCATTAGATGACTCTCCCTATCCTCTTAATTACTTATATTTATTCTTATTGAATACTAGATGTTTGAAATAATTGTTTTGAAAAAAAAAAAAAAATTTATGATTTCCAAAAAAAAATTTTTATGTGACGTTAGCTCAATTTTCCTTTCAGTTATTATTTAAAGTATAATTATTATAGTTATATAAAAGTTATATATATATATAAAAAATTTGTTTGATATAATGATGATAATAGGTATATAAGAATGTATGGTATAATGATAGTAACTTATAATAATATAATAATAAAATATAAACATAGTGATAGTAGAATGAAAGAGTTTTATAGATAAAATATGGATAAAATTTTAAATCGAGGTTTTGCGCTATCCTCACTCGTCCCCCCAAGGCCGGAGATATTATTATCTTCGGTCTTGTGAGTCCTAAAGCAGCAAAACATTTTTTATTTCAAAATTTTAGAGAAACGTACTGTTTTTCATTATACTATCTACTATATTTGAAAATGTTTGAAAAAAAAGAGAAAAAAAAATTAACTGATTTATACAAACTGTTGGCTCGTTTTTGGCAATTTTTTTTTTTTTCATTAAGTTACTGATTTTCACTTTTCCGCAAATGAGCCATCAGTTTGTTTATATAAAAAGTTTTTTTTTTATAAATGACCTTAACTTCTACGAAGTTGAAGCTGAGGTTTTTGTCTAAATCGGTGATTTGTAGTCTCTCAGCCGGAAGGTTTTCGGCTTTGTTGATTTCTCGACGGTCCCAGGAGCTTCTTCGGTTGTTACTGTTGTTGGATGTGGTTCCTTGACTTCTTGAGAGGTCGACGTCTTTTCTTCAACAGTTTGTAGTTAAATTATGACTGGTTTTTCATCGACTCTGCTGGGCTTGCGAGGCTTGGATAGGAATCGGCGGATAGTTTTCTGTATAGCTATTCCCCCTATTATGAGTGATATTATTCCTAATGTTGTTACCGATCCGATGGTTATTTTACGGTTGATTTCTTCTTTTTGATGGTCTAGAGCTATTAATGACATTTTTTCTTCATTTTCTTCTAGCCCTTGGCCCCAAGGTTCAAATTTGTCGATGATTGTAGCTGGGTCTTGACTTTGCGTGAACGAATTTGGAACTGCGTCGTTGATTTTTAGGCTCGAGTTTAATGTTTCGAAGGAAAGATTGAAAATCGGGGCAATGAGGTCTATTTTTGTTGACTCTCTTGCAATTCCTCGGATTGTATATTCATTGCAGTTTACTTGGCATTCTTGTTGGATGTGTATGAGTCCAGTTCCATTAATTATGCGATTTTCAGCTGTTTGTCCTGGATAACTCCATTGAATAGTTTCTTGTTTGCGCGTTGAATATGCCCAGGTGTTTTTCTCGTTCATTTTTATCCAAGTCAGCGTGCATTTTTGGATAATTACATTCCCGTAGATTTTCAGTTTTTGGGTCCATTAACAATTTCATTTCGCAATCTACCTCATTCTCCAACTTAGTTGTTTTGGACGGAAGGTCAGGCGGACATGCCATGTCTGGTCCGATGGCCTTGCAGCTGTTGATGTAGTCCTGTCCAGCGAGAAAATATTCATCGAACGATGACTCTGACACGAGGTATTTCGATGTTGGCTGAATTGTCAATGTTGATATTTGGTCTCCAATTTTCTCAGGTTTTGGCAGCGATTTAAGTTCGTACGCTAACCATGGCATCTGGTCAAAAACCGGCACGCTGATTATTATCAGGAAGTGTCTATTTGTTTTTCCTGTTTCCACTGTCGATATTCTGGCTAGTGTATTGATGTCCATGTGATCCAGAGGTTGAGGTGGGTTTAACGTTGGATGTTTTTTCATCATATCAGCAGTTGCTCGATGTAGTTGTTTAGCTGACACTGTTAAATAGGTGAGTTTACCCCATTTTGCCTCTCCTATGGTCTTTTCTGCGTTGTTGAGAGTCCTTAGGCGGTTGGTCATCAGGTGAATATGGTCATCGGGAGCCATAGAGAATAATTGACTTCTTTGAAGATCGCTCAGTTGTTTGTTTACTGCTTGTTTGAGGTAAGCTGATGTTCGAACCACTTCCTTGATTCTCTCGGTTGTATTTACTTCATGTTTTAGAATTTCGTTTATTTCACTCCTGATGATATGAGTGTTGTTCTGTGATAAGTGTACTAATTCCCTGTTGTCTTGGTATAATTTGTCTATTTCTTTGGTGATGTGTTCCTTGTCACTATAGTCCATTGTGCCGAACAACTCACGTGCAATTGTGCCTATGAAGCCGAACCAGGGAGCTCTCTTGGTGCGGTTTCGTGGGTTGAATTCTTCTAGCTGTGGATCTTCGAGGAGTTGTCTCAGCCGATGTTGAGCTTGCTCAATTTCTGCCTGTATTTCTTGATGGCTATTGACTCTCATATATGACATGCAGATTAAATGGTTAAATTTTAACGAGCATATTCGGTAAGCTTCCCATAGAGTTTGGTTGGAATGCGGATACAGATTCACCAATTTTTCGACATTGATGGAGCTAACCAGTTGCCATTCTTCTCGTATTAGATGAATTTTCTTGAATGGATCATACAGCAGACCTGGATTTGCCTCCATTGGTTTTATTTTGACTTCCCCTGCACCCCCGGCCAGGCATCCGAGTCCCAGGAGGAAAAGTAGCACAGTATTCATGCTGGATTGATTTTTCTGAAACAAACGACTTGGGTTCTTTTTAGTCAAATTTTTCGCGGCTGGCCGGTTTAGCCTTATTCGGATGGAGTAATTTCCGTTTTCCGTTTTCTTTTTCTATTGTTAAATTCCCCATTTCGTTTATTTCAACTATTTCGTATGGACCGATATAAAAAAGGTCTAATTTATTTTTTCTCGGTTCTTTCAGCGTGTATATGAGATCTCCTATGTTAAATTTTGCCAGGTGTATATGTTTGTCAAAACGGATTTTCGATTCGTGTTTCGCTTTAGTTAGATTTTCCGCGGATATTCGTTGAATCTCGGATATTCGACAAATTAAGTCCTCTAAATACTCGTTATACGATTCGATTTTACTGAAATCCGGGAATTGAGTCGGACTTCGATCTTTTCTTCCGTACAAAATTTCATATGGTGTAAATTTTGTTGCTGAATGAACGGTCGTGTTATAATTTAACATTGCCATTGGAATATACCGATCCCAGTTACTAAATTTATCTACGTAAGCCCGTAGGTAATCGATTAAAGGCTGGTGAGATCTTTCCAAGGCTCCGTTCGACTGTGGATAATAAGAAAAAGTTGTTATTCTTTGGATTTTTAACGCTTTAGCTAGCTGCTGAATTAATTTACTAGTCAACGAGGTGCCCTTATCAGAGAGAATTACACGGAGGCACCCGTAACAAGCGATATAATGATTTAATAAGGCATCAGCAACAGTCACTGCTCTGATATCAGGGAGAGGAACTGCTGCTGCTGCTTTAGAAAAATTATCCTGGATTGTCAGGATGTGTACATTTCCATCAAGGGTCACAGGTAGGGGTCCTACCGTATCTATACTAATTTTTTCAAAAGGTTCGAAAGGTGTATCTGTGATAGACATAGGCTGTTTTGTTTTTATTCACGTAAGTTTATTTTTCTGGCATATTTCGCATGCTCGAATGTAATTATAGATTTTATCATTCATTCCTGGCTAGTAATATTTTTCGCGAATACGCCAATACGTTTTTACTACGCCTTTGTGGCCCCCTATTAAGCTATTATGATTTTCTTCGATTATTTTTGTTCGGAGGGATTCGTCTTTTTCCCATCTCCCTTTTTCTAAGACGAGAGGCTATTGTTTCTCTCACTTCGGGAGCACTGCTGACTCTTGGTCGATTTTTAGATTTCGGAGGGCGACCGGGGCATTTGACCGCTTGAATCGCCTCCGAGTCAGAGAGTTTCTTACCCGATCCTTTTGATTTTGGTATAGCAGAAATCGGTAACGCTAGAGGATTGTTTTCGGTGTTATTATTTATCGGGTTTCCTGAAGGTTCAGGACGACCTTCTGTGTTATACGAGAGCCCTTCCGCGTATTGCTCGGTAATTTTGTGACGGACTACGACATTAAATTTATATCTACTTAATTTAGAGCGCCATTTCGCTTGTCTTTCGGTGACAGTTGCGCTATCTTTTAACCAGGTAACACAAGGGCTACTTGTTATGAGAGTTAAATGTTTTTGGAGATACGGTCTGAATTGTTGAATTGCGTAGACTACCGCCAGACATTGTTTTTCTACATCTGTGTATCTTGTTTCAGTATCGTAAAAGACTGTTGAGACACACGAGACTATCTTTTCTCCGTCACCGTCTGGGTCATCGTCCTCCACTGTCGTTGCTTGACTGAGAATTCCGGATATTCCCGAGTCCGACGAGCTGACAGCCAGGATAAAGGGTTTATTAAAATCTGGATATTTTAGAAAAGAGTTTTCGCAGAGGGCATTTTTGATATCGTCAAATGCCGCTTGCGCTTCTTCTGTCCGTATGAAAGGTTTAGTCTTTCGCGTAAGATCTGTAATGGGCTTAGCCCTTTCCGCGAAATTTTGGATAAAACGTCGGTAATAATTTGCAAGCCCCATAAATTTTCTGGCTTCTGTGTGATTTCTAGGTCGCGAGGCATTTTTAAGTGACGAGATTTTTTTCGGGTCGGGCCGTATGCCCTCTTTCGTAATTACGTGACCTAAATAATCTACTTCCGGACAAAGAAATTTACATTTTTCCGGTTGAAGCGTGAGACCTGCTTCTCTCAACCTGTTAAATAATTTGTACTCTTACTCCATGTTCAGCTAAGTTTTTACCATAAATAACTAAATCATCGATGTAAATAAAAAGTTCCGCCCCTTTTAACCCGCTTAACGTGGAATCCATCATTCTTTGAAAGATAGACGGAGCACATTCTAGACCAAAGGGCGTACAGCAATATTCCCAGTGACCATCTGGTGTAGAAAATGCCGTTTTTGGCGCGTCCGCGGGGTGCATTGGGACCTGGTGGAAACCCATGGCGAGATCGAAGACGTTGAAGAAATTAGCGTCACCTAACTGGTCTAAAATATCGATGATTAGGTAAGGGATAGGCATCCCCCCTAGTTATATTATTTAACTGTCTAAAGTCAATAACCATTCTATATTTTTTTATAGAAGAGTCATTTGATTTTTTTGGTACAATCCACAAGGGTGAATTGTACGGGGAATCAGATTTTCGTATTATTCCCTGTTTCTCGAGATTTTCGACCTGCCTGGCGATTTCCTCCCGATGTTCTGGGGGAAATCGGTATTGTTTTATTCTCACCGGCTCGTTGGTGATAGTTTCAATCTGGCAGGTGAATTTTTTCGAACAACCTAACTTGTCTCCAGGAAGATGGAAAACATCGTGGTTATTTTGTATTAGAGCCTGAACTTGCTCTGATTCTTTCTCATTGAGATGACCTAGAGATATTTTCTGAAGCAGAATTTTAATACGTTTTTTTGGATTAGTTACACGATTAGAGTTTTCCATAGAAGGATCATCGGACTCATCCTCATCTGAGCTAGGGTGACTGAACTCGAACTCTTCGAGTGCTTGGGGTCCAATGTCTATGTCAACTGGATTTGAATTAAGATTAATAACCATGCAAGTAGCATAGCCATCCTCTACTTTAACAACGGCCTCTCCTCCGAGCACTCCATCCGGAAGATTCATTCGAGGAAGGTATCCCTCACTCTTTTCGAAATCATGGACAGGCACTGCTACTACCATTTTCATAAGAGGTGGTAATGTGTAGCTTGAAGAAGGCTTTGTTTCAAGGCTAAAGGATGTTGTCTTCGTTGGACAAGATAATAAAACTAAAGTTTGATTATTATAAGAAATTTCTGCTTATTCAGTTTCAAGAAAATTGTTTCCCAGGATTCTCACTCCGGGGAATGGTAAATCCTCGCGACAAACTTGAAACTCGACTTCGATATTGAGAATTTTTAATTTAACTATCCCTACGGTCTGAAAGGTACTGTCGCTGAGACCACGGAATCTTCGAGCTTTTCCAATATCGATAGTTGCTTCGGGTTTTAAAGCGGATGCATTGATGAGGCACACATCCCCCCCGGTACCGATGAGGAATCGCTGATAATTACCTAGGAGCAGATTACACGAGATGTAAATTTTCGGCCCTGTTCCTAAAGCGAGGATTTTTTGCACAGGAAACTTTCGTGGGTTAATTATCGGTATTGGATTTATAGGTCTATTTTTTATTACTAGGGTGTTCTAGTAACACGAGATGGTTACACGATTTTGAACAAAATATTCATTTCCGAGAATAGCCCTATAACCACTAGGGTGTCCGTTATTTCCCAAATCGATTTTTTTTTAGCAATCGCCAACTGAATCTGTAGTTTATGACCTAAAAAAAAATATCCAACACAAATGGGCTCTTAATTTTCACATTAACCCGTGCCGGAATCATGTTATATTTACCACTTAAATAACATGAGATTTTTAGACTTTTTACTTTTAATTTTTTTTCTCAGAAACAAATGGGAGTGAAAATTTGATGGATGCATATTCTGCTAGAAAATTGAACGCTCTACAAAAAAGTTCTCTTATCAATTTTCGATAAAACAATTCCTTCAAAAGTTATTCAACGTTAAACTTGGGTTTATTGTCAATTCTATGATATTTTTAATTTTATTTTTATTTTTACCTTTTTTGGCTATAAAATCGTTGAAATAAAAGATTATTATTATTATCAGTAGAGTACCAATGATCATTAATGTCGATATAATGGCCTAAACAGAAAATCAAGGGGAAAAAAACTTTTTTATGAGAAATAAAAGAAATAACATAGCTTTCCGCATACAGACATACTTTAAAATAAATTGATGGAAAATGGTGAAATAAAAATGTAAAAATTTCTTTGTTTAAAATATTATAAGCAGATTTATTATTGTTTTTCTTTCTTTATAATTTTTTTGTTAAGGAAGCTTTGGTCGCATTAGGATATTTTTTCTTGTACTCACTTACAACTTGTATCAAATATTGTTTTTGATATTCTCGTGTTGTTAAAATATTAATATACTCTTGAGTTAATTTAATTGCTCTTTCGGCGACATCATTAACTACTTGTAAATTTTTAACAATTCGTAAGCCTTCTAAATAGTCGTTCCTGTCCGCCCACGTTTCAACATCTAGTTTCAAAAAATTTTTATCAATGTTGAATCTTTCAAAAAATTGTAAGGAATCCGAATTTATAAAAAAATCAATATCTTTTTTTTGCAAATTCACAATTTCACTAATCGTATGAATTCTATAGCGTTTGGAGGAATCAAAATCCTGATTTTCATTATTTTCTAAAGCCTTGACCATTTTCCGTTTGATGGAAAAAGATATGTTTTCTGTTACGTCCGAGTGACGATAACACAATTAATTTATCAGTTCCTTAAATTTGAGACTAATCACCGAAGATTATATGTCTCGGGAGGCGGGAACCGCGCCTATAGGTAACTGCACGCGGGTTTCGTATGATAATGACTCGAAAAAATGATAATAGTTTGTTGCGGAACCCCGGCTCTATTAGGGTATCCCTTTTGGGGTAGGTCAGGGCACAAGCGAAAGAGAAGGCAAGCAAAATGGTATTGGATAGACTAAGAAAGAATTATACCTGAGTGAGTGAGATACCGAATTGTCGTTGGGCCCTCGTCCAAATACCTGAATGTCGGAGTTGCGAGGGTCGTTGACCGATGCACCGTGACTGTCGATTAATTAACTAAATAGTCAGGATAATTAGTTAAGGTGTTTATTAATAAATTCGGAGTAATTAAGTAACTTACGATTGTTTATTGCAATATATTGCGAATACAAGGAATAACTATCAATGGTTGACTGGTCGGAAATGGAGCTGATTATTCAACAATTAATTATTTTAGGATAATAACAAAAAAAAACTGCTGAACTACTGATCACACTCGCGATTATAGAAAATACTGATGCTTCCCGGGTGCTGTGGCTGGGTTTTTATACACTTCATAAGTCCCTCCTCCTCATTTACAATTACAATAACCCTTCATATAGGATTTTGATGGAATGTATAGATAACGACTTACGGAATTTGGGGATCGCTATGCAATAGCAACACTAAGACATAAAAACTCTCTCCTATTTTCTGAGAATTTAAACACGGTCGGGTTAATTCTGATTACCTGTGAACTGCGTACCGTGACTCAGCGGTTGTTTGCTCAGGTGAGAATGCTCGTGATGGACCTGCTAGCCGTTGCCGCGATTAGCCTTCCCCTTATCTTTCAGGATGATTTTCTTATAGCGAGAGTTTTCTATCTCGATAATGAAACTCCGATTTCTCTATAGCACGGGTGGCCCAAATATTCTTGGTTATCTAAATTTCTTATACTTTTAATTCCGGCTTGGTAATTATTTATTTAGGATACGCGAGATATCGCGGCGTACATTCACACGGTGTATACGTTCTTTTGATTTGGAAATTCCTACGTGGTAATTAGGGCCCTCCCACAATAGTTATGGCGTCTTTAACTATTAACATAATAGTTACGCCTTCCTCTAGCCTACTCTGAAGAGGAAACTGAGGGACTTGGGGTGGGCGGTCCTTAGGGGTACAGCGATGCAGTAGTTCTCAGTTCCTTTATTAATTAGGTTTTTTTTTTTTTCGTTGACCAATTAATCGAACATTAAGGGGTTACGCGAGGCCGTAACATTCCTCCCTATTTTAAGATTGAGCGATGGGGTTTCATCGACCCCTTCGCGAATACACAGGTATACGCAAATACATATATTTCGTATGTGTGTTATGTGTATGTAATAAAAAAAAAATAATTATCCTTCCAGTCAACCTTACAAGCCTTAAGATCTAGAATTACAAATGTGATTAACATAAAATATTCCCATTGATAAGTATATATGTAAATCTTGACGTTGCGATGTCGCATTGACAATGTTATGCGACCTTGTTGTAATCATTACATTTTAACTACTAGCAATTACGGATACATCATTCTTGAAAAGTTTTTTTTTTTTGCAGTTTGAATTTAGTAACCTTTTTACTCCCCCTCTCTCTCTTTTTTTTTGAGAGGAAAGAAAAAAAACAAGACAATATTTTAAATTATTAATAAAAGTTAAATAAGCGACATAATAATAACAGAAAATGTCTATGTGCATTTTGTTCAATCGTTTGTTTTGACGGAATACGTCTTATAATTTGATGAATTCTAACGGCATGCGGGAAAATTGTCACGTTCCACCTGAGTCTGTGCGTGCGAGTGAGAACGCACGACAAGCGGTAAGGCACAGGTAGAGAGGTTTAAGCGTTCTAATGAGTCCCCTTTTTTTGTAAAAAAAAAATATTATTTTTTGAATATAAGAGATTATTATGATACTTCTTTTGTATGACAATTTTCCTTTTTCTCTTTTTATATGAAATTATAATTTAATAATTCAATCCTTAACTTATGCAATCAATTTCTCTCACGTAAAACTATTGTTTAGGTACGGACCCTATAGACAAGGAAAGTTTTTATGTATTTTGTTTTAGAATCATTACATTTTTGCAAGATTTATGATAATATTACTATGATTGCAAATTTTCTAATGATTATTTTATATTAAAGGTTGAATTCTAACTAATGAACAGTGCACGTTATAGTGGTGTCTTTAGTTAATTTTTCTTTTGTTAATTAAGAAATAAAAAAAAAATATATAAAATTTTTATTTTATATCAGTCAGGCTTCTAGTCGTGAATCTATCAATGTGCGTATACTGAGAATCCTACTATATGCTTCTCATTTTCCTTTTCTTTTAAGATGCGAGAGAAGGAAAGAGAGGTATGTACTATAGACAAAAAGGAAAAGGTCCTCGGTTTAGCTTGCAGCGTACTCCTTGTCCCCACCTTCTGTTGGTCTTCAGTTTTCGGGCATTAGATTTTCCGGTGAGAAGGGGAAAGGTTCTTATGAACCCCCTGTGATGAGTGCATTGTTATTTATTTCTCTCCATTAGTTGGAAGTGTCCGTGTCGTTGGTGTTTCTTTTCATTATTTCCTTGAAAGTGATATTCTTTTCTTTTTACTCTTCGGTAAGTAGATATATACATATATATATATATATATATATATTTATATATATATAAGTTTCTGTCTCGTGTGGTGCCTAATTATTGACTTGTTTTTCCCTTTTATTTTCTTTAGAAAATGAATTCAGTTTATGGTGGTTTAGCAAGATGTGAGGTGACAAGTACGGGAATCCAAACTACCCCCGGTCAGCCTGGACCGTCAACCTCTGGTTACCAAGGGCGTTCAGCGCCAGGAAGTTCCGCAGTGACGTCAGCAGTTGTTCTGGTTCAAGGTTCAGTAGCAACGTCACCCTCGTCAACGTCCTCTTCTTCGTCCGCAGAATCTTCGGGCCCATCAAGTGGTTCGTTGGCGGCGACGCCGGCCGCTTCTTCGGCGGGTTCTCTGAGGGTGAAATCGGAAGAAGTGTTATTGGAAGATTTTACCCAGGAGCCTGGTCAATCAGCGTTGGAGAGTCGTGAACCGGAAACAGCAAGTCCGGTGAATCAAAGCCCTCGTAAGTACTATTTGATATGTTCTTCTTTCTTCTTGTGTTTTTTTTTCTCTTTTTTTTTTTTCTTTTTTTTTTTTTTTTTTTTTTTTTTTGAGTGAACGAGGTATTATCATATGGTGTTTCAACATCCCTTTTTTTTTCTAGGGTACATGATGAACTGGTATGAGGCGGAAATGGTCGTAGCAGGTTCCGCTCCCGTTGACCTGTCGCGCTATTTGAGCGACCCTCCAGTTTCATCCCCTGAGATTCCAGCTCCGCGGAAGAGGAAATCTAGATTTCCTACCCCTGAGGAACTTCAGCTCATGATCCAGAAACTACAGTCGTTATTGCACCTCAACGTGATTTCATATCGACCATCGTCGTTTATCCAGGGTACGACCAGGATCACTCCAGGATTTTGGGATCCACTAATAGCGATTATCCCTGAGTCTAGGGGGTGTGTGAAGCGCTTCTTCCTTCAATTTCCTTTGGAGTTAGTGGAACAACTGGATCCATCGAGGGATTCCTTACTGAAGGTATAGAATTCGTTACTTTTTGTATTATCATTTCCTTCTCCCCCCTTTTTTTTGTTATTGATTGTTATAATTAATATTTAAAATTATGTGTTCACAGACAGTACTTCATATGTCATCTCAGGAGTTGCGTCACTGGTTTAGATATACCAAGGCTCCGAGATATGTTCAACAATGGCTGCGTAAATTATACCGAGTTTACCGGGGGAATTACAATGTAACTACAGTTATTTAAATGTGAGAGTTTGTTGTTTTTTTTTTTTTGTGAGATAAAAAATCTTATACGTATGTAAAGGTAACTAATAAATGTAAGGATCCTTTCATTTGTTGTAATAAAAGATGCAAAAAACAAAGAAAAAAAAAATATATATAATTTTTACTCCATTATCCTTATCCTCTTTCCTTCTCTGATTCTTTTAGAATAGTTTTTAAGAACGGCGCCTGGACTGACGGTAATTATGTAAACACATATATATTTTTTGTTAGATTAGAAATGAGTTTCAAAAATTATGAATCTATATGAGGGAATGTAAATTTTATAATTCCATCTTATATAAAATTAGGTGGTTAACTGGATTATTTATAAAATTTTAAAGAAAATCTTTGAAACGTATTTCATAACTGAAGTTAAGTATATCTTAAAATTACTAGTTACATTTTGTCTTTTTCTATTGCTTAATATTATATAAATAGCATTACTGTATAGTTAATTAAATACTAAATATTTTATAAAAATTTTAACATAGAAGTAATCTGGTAATCCTTTTGAAAGTAGCGATTACTTCAGTGGGAAATAAAAATGAGTTTGGTTAGTTATGCGATACGGGTCACGAATAATAATTCTACTAAGAATTATTGTTTGACGCCATTACAATCATTCTGTAAGGTCGAAATGCTGTGCTGCGATAAGTATTATTATATTCCCACTGCAGGTAATTCAAATTAGACTCCGAAACTTATCGTAAATTGTTCTTTTAATTTAAAAGAATCAAAAAAAAGAAAATTTTTTATATACGTTATACGAAATAGTGTACGGAAATAATTACGCGACATAAAATTTTCATAAGCAAACTTATAAATTCGAATTATTGTATTGTGGGGGAAAAATTTATATATATTCTTTTGTAATTTACGATATTGTCTAATTTCAATTAGGATTATTGTTGTTATTATCGTATCTAATTTATAGTCCTTAATTATGGCTATCGCCTTAGTGGTGTATTAATATATTATTATTATGCATTCTAAAAAATAATTATTATGTCATCAGAGGTTACTGTTTGGTGACCGATCTGAACACAATAATAACTGATATTTATTTTAACACTATTCTTAAAGCTCAACCAAGCGTGTATTTTTTGCAAGAGAAAAAAAAACGAAGGTTGATGAGCGTATATGCATCATAAGGGTAGACATTGCGAGAAATGAAGGCATGAATAGAGTAGTATAAGCATTTATTAAGTAAGAAATAAAATATAAGTACAAAGACGTTAATAGTAGATACAATAAGTAATAAATATATTTGGCACAATGTTGCTTACTAATAGTGTTTAGCTAAAATGAGATCAACGTTATCAATTTTACCATCAGCAATTAACTACTTATGCATATTCAGTCGATACTGGTAACTATCGTACGTGGAGAAAGGAAGAACTGACCTGCACAATCTCGAATCACTTGCACATAGAGGCTTATGTTCGAATAACCAAATTTCGTTGTGAAAACGGCTCGTTCTTCCTCTCTTTACAATGGCAATTTGTGGTTTTATTATCACTAGAAATATAACGATGAAAGAATTAATATATGCCGATCTATCGTAATACTCATAATGGTGTACTCTTACAATATCTATATATATATATCTTTTTTATTCTTCTTCCTCCTCTCTCTCCTTTTTTTGTTACAAGAATTTGGCAAGATCAAGCTTATTCGGATAATTTATTTAAGCGTAAGAGATTTCTCCCTCCCCTTTTTTTTGAACGGTGAAATTTCTTTTAACAGTAAGGAGAAATGCCTTTTGCATTAGCTTTTTTTAAAAAAAAAAAATTTATTAACTATTATATATGTCCCTATAAATTTATTAAGATATATATGTGTTTGTTCCCATCACCAAGTGTTTAATCTACCTTTTGTTATTTAGTAATAGTAATTAGTATACCTGAGTGTAGTTTTTGTAAAATATCATCTTACTTTAAGTGGGAGTCCTTACTCGTTGTCAGAGCTAACTCTTTTATCCTCCGTAAGGTCAATGGTTTCCGGGTTGATCATCCAAGCGTCTTCTGTCCCTAGTGCTGATAATTTATAATTGTAACGATTTTCTGCTGCAGCGAGGTAGTTGTTGAGCACCGACTCGCGGAAACCCCCTAATTGTCTTAATTCCAGATATGAGAATATTCGTGATGCGAGTCCTTCTGGGTGAAACTTAGTTAAAGTATTCCTGATGTTGGTTTTTTCACTTTCGTATCCTTTGGTTACTTCTTTCATTAATAAAGGAGGTACTTGGCGAAAAGCGATGCAGGTGCCAGTTAATTCTCGATGTCATAGAGTTGTGATAGGGTTTACTCTAATCACTCGGGGCTCCACAATGAGTCTTTGATTTATGAACATGTAATAAAATTGAAACAAATACCAGTAAGTCCTCATTTTCATGGTTAGGTATTCTTTCGGACAGCTGTCAGTATGTTCTTCAGACGGACATTGACCTGCGATTTCGCATAATCCTTCGTAGAGTCTGTCGGATATTGATATCACCCGTATTTCGTCGGACATTCGGGTGGTTAAGCTTGCTGCAGTAACTCGAGTGTCGGACAAAAACATTAAAAATTGGTATATGCGCTGAGCTTCTGTGTATGTATTCCGCACTTCCTTATAAGTACGTCTTAAATCACATGCGTAAGGAAGTGGTATGGTTATTGACACTTCTTGAATGGTGACTTGGATGTCTAGGTATAGACAGCCTTCGCGGAGTATTGGGTCCAGTTCGGGTTGGGTGTATTCAACAAATTGCTTGAACAGCCATGCTTGGTCTGGTGGAAGTTGGCATTCCATGACCTGTAATTGAGAATAATTAGAGTAATTAGCTGGGAGTTTTTGGATTATAGAGTATTCTTCCTTTTAGCTTGGGGATTCAGAGGGATTCCTAGGGTAGCCCCCGCTCCTCGACGTATAGCTCCCCGTGTATTCCAATATTTTATGATACACCGTGGACATGTTGCGGCATCTTTTACCTCGTGTATTGGGGTGTAGCAGTTATTGCAAAAATTTCCGGAAATCCAGACCTTGGCTTCTATCTCATGGAAAAATATTTTCTTACAGTTAGATTTATTTCTCAGTATTTTTTGGTTAATAACACAGTTCACACATAGACATCCTAATTCAGTTTCCCAGTAGGTTCCGGAACGGCAGATTAATTCCGTGATCATTTTCCATTGAGACTTGTTGAGGACATTTTTCCACCCATCTGCTGTAGATTCTGGTTTTCTGATTAGATCCATTATAGCTCCTTGAATTCCTTCTTGATCTTTTGGTTGTATTAAGAGGCTGGCTTGACTGAAAGCATTTACATAACGACCCGCTTCTTCTGTTAGTTCGGTGGGAATTTCCTGTTGCTTTCGCTTAGCCGATTTTTTGCTGGAAGCGATTCCTCGTTTGTACGCACGTATGGTTAACGCTACGGGATCTGGAGTGCGAGCACCGGTTTCTTCGTCCGACGTTGGATTGGTTGATTCAGGAGAGACCCTGGTTGAAGTAGACGGTTGGTCAACTACGTAGGGGCGATTTCTTGTTGTTACTTGGATCTGATGGGTATTCGCAGAAGATTGGTCTATTTGATGATCCGAAATCGGGGAATAAGTTGTTAATACCTGTTGAGCTTTCTCGGGGAGTAAGTAGGGTGCGGGCAAATTGCTTGGGGGTGCTCCTCGCATTCGGATTGAAGAATTTTGGGGAACAGTTAATAAACTTCGGAGTAATGGGGATCTGGATGGTGGTCCTGAGGGTGTGATGTCCGCCGTTGAGGTCCTAATGTTTGCTGTGGTGAGCAAAGGTGTATACTCCTCGTACTTTATGGGGTTAGAATTAGTGACGCCTTCCATTCCGTTGCCTTGGAAAAATCGTGATGTTGATTCTTGAGGTATACCTCTATTGGCTGGAACGTTGGCAGTGGCTGATGTAATTGCAGACTCGGAGCTTATATACCGACTCGTGGTATTATGAGGGATTGGGTGATTTGATGATGCCGCTTGGCAACCTTCGGTGGAAAATTTGGATATAAAATCATTAAGATTATTAATGGGGTTGTTAACTGGAGCGTAGCGACTGTATGACGGAAGATTTGATCGTACTCCCATAGTTTGACTACCTTGATTAGAATAGAATTCACCAGAACTGTCAGTTGTGGATGAGGGATTATTTTTAACTGTGTAATTATCAATAGGAGTCCATGTATTATTATTAGAGTAGGTACTGGAAGAGTTGTATCCTTGGTCATTAAAATTTGAAGATTGGTAGTTTGTGTTGTTGACGTTCCAAATCATCTGGGTACGTGGAGGTGCTGATGATATTAAGTTTTCCTGAGCTCCCTGTTGTTGAAAAGATGATTGTATTGCAGATATGGTAGCTGGACCACATTCTCCAGTCATATTGGGATATGACCCGGTTGGTGGTTCGTAATGGTGTCTGCATTCTGTTGACCAGATGGTATTATGGAGATACCCCTCTAATTCCTCCTCTGAATTAGTCCGTTGATTTGCCATGGTCGTCGTAGTACGTTGAGCGATTCCTAAAACAATTAAGTACGAATCTCATTAGCGGCGCATTGAAGATAAGAATAGAAGGAGTTCGGGGGAGCAGTTATCACTACTTCTGATTCTTCGGAAGCATGATCATTATGGTTGGTGGGTGCACTTGCGTCAGTAGTAGTTGTCGAGGCGATGGGTTTTAACTCTACGTCTTCTGTTGGAGCGGGATTTTTATTTCCCAGATGAACTAACAGGTGGGTGATTGAACTCCAGACTGCCCCTACTAAATGAATTGACCACCCATAAATAGAATGCAAAGCATAGCCATTGATAACAGTGTCAACTGCTAATTTTATAAAACGAAATATTAACAACAATCCAATAATTCCTGCGCTTGCGGTACCAAAGGTCATGAAGGATGACCACATTCGATCCCATGCATTATCAGCGATTTGGCGTAGGGTATCTTCGTCTAATAAATTCATAAAGTGAGCTCCTTGATGGAGAGATGGTTGACCGGTTATTGTTCTGGCCAAAGTATTTAATACCATGGCTCTTTCGGCAGGGAACATAATGCTTGAACGTAGGTTGTGGAGATCTTCGTAACTGTATATGCCGCTAGTTGCTAGAGATCCAGGATTAGTATATCTCCAAGTGGCTTCTGTGGATGGTTTCAAACTAGCTGGTGTAGCCACGGGTGCAAACCTGGGAGAAAAGGTAAACCATGATCCTCCAAGATTGAACGTGGTGGGTATAATTGGGTTGCAGTTAATTTGTGTACCAACATTGGTTAATATGTGCGTTCGCGGCATTAGGAATAACCCAGTATCATTGTCTTTGGTTACGGGCAATTGTTGGTAACATTCAGTAGTTGATCTCACTCGGACGTCTACGGGTATACATTTAATTAAATGAATCACTTCTCCGGCTACGACTGCCATGTATCCTGGTCCTTTCATTAAATGGAAAGCGAATTCGTCTGGAGTTTGTGTAGCATGTAGGAGAGAATTTTTTAGAACTTGTACTTCTAGGTCGCACTTTTGCTTCAATAAATCTAGATATAAGGTGTTTACTTGGGTTCGGATGTGCCTCTCCACATAGACGAACTTTGAATTAACATATGCCATGATGTCCGTGTTCCCAGGGGTCAAGGTACCCTTGGTTATTGGTATCATCCCAGAATCGGCGTACTCTACGATGAAAAGTTTAGGGTGTTCCGTGCGTATCAACCGATAACCGCATATATCTTCACGACCCTTCCTAGTGAAAGCGAACGTAACGTCCTTATTTACCACTGTGTAGATGATTTCCTTGTGTCGGGTGACATTATTTCCTTCGTCCACCAGTTTCACGGCTGGACCCGCGTATAGTTGTTCGAATCTGCCGCTGTTGCAGTCAGTTGGTAGTGATGACCAGAAGGTGTGTCCGGCTTCAATATCGGAACAATGGCCCTCTGCTAGGGGACATGCTATTCCTGATTTTAGAGAGATTAAGTTTCTTTCTAAGTCGACCTTGGCGTAGTAATCTCGCAATTGAATTTCCACATATCCTTGGACTACTACGTCGTTCCACGTTCCATAGGGGTCAGCGTAGGTAGTTCCCTTGCATTCTCCATCTATTTCGATTTTTCCGGCGAAAGTCACACTGTGAGTCGAGGAAGTGTTCGACAATAACCCGCTTAAGTGGGTACCAAGCCCCACTACGTAATAGCCTGTTCGATGTATGTTAGCGCAGTCTTCGGCACTTATTGGGAGAATGTATGTATTTTCCGAACCTTTAACTACGGAGTTGTGGCTATAAGCTCCACAATACGTAACAGTTCTTTTGACGTTGACCTTGCATTGAATGACCTGGGTGTAAACAAATTCCTTAGTTTGAATCAGCTGTATTTTTAATTCGGTGGTATTTAAGACGGGTTCAGCTATGTGACAGTCTTCTACGTCCAGTAGGGACAAGGTAGTGATGTTTAAACTCGGGGCTCCACAGTCGTATCCCAATAATCCGAATGCTGGTGCTAGGAATAGCATAGTGACTAGTGGTGTCATCCATCCCTTCAGACTTTTAGTTCGACGGAGTTTGCTGAATGGCTTCTTCTTAATAGGTGCTGGTAGGGTAGTCGACTTTGACGTTGATGCATATACAGGTGGACCAGTCACATGTGCTGCAATGTACTCGTTACTCGAGTTGTCCTCCTCTTCGTCTTCTTCTACCTCTGGTATTAAATTTTCTTCTTCCTCTAAGATGGTGGAGACTCTTCGTGGTTGCATATCTACGTAAATGTGATCAGAGTAAACTCGCCGGGGTATATCATAATGATCTTCTACTGTTTTGTGATTATGGCGCAGTAACCAAATTTTTGCTCGATGTAGATTATTAAGGGCGCAACTATATATCCTTCGTAGTTCCGTGCCATGAGTAAGACAATAGTCGTCGGCTCGAGGTAGTTGACCCATGATTGGGAGGTAGTCGGTTAAATCCGGAATTCTGTAACCAGTTACATTAGAAACGAAATTTGCAGCTTCTGTGCTAAAACCGAAGGTATGCGTAGATAGTCGAACGATGTGATGTATTCGGCGATATGTTTCTTCAATACCGCGGCCAGGTAATTCCCATATGAGTCCGTGAGATGCGGTTTGGGCAATTGTACGTCTTCTAATTTTTTTTTCTGTAATAAGATCAGGTATACTAATTATTAATTATCTTCTTATAATTATGTGGAAGTAGTAAGGAAAGGAAGTTAACAGATGTTAGTACGGACTGAGATTAGAATACGTTCGCGACATACGGCGCATTGCATTAACCCCGGAGCGCATCTGGTGCAAGCTAACATGTGACCACAGGGCAAGAAAACTACTCCTAGTTCGTGTACATAACAAATTTTGCATATTTTTGCTTCAGGTACTCCCTTGGACTCCGTCGTTGTCATTGTTGTCGTGGTTGTCGTTGTAGGATCCTGGGGTTCACTTAATTCTTCGGCGTTGTCGTTTGTAGTTTGTTTAAGTTTCTCTTCTTCTTCCTTCTGCATTATCTTCCTTGTCACGCTTTCGATGTATGCTTGGCCTTTTACTGCCCATACATAGTGACAAGAACTATACCATCTAGCGTGTTGTTCCCAAGGGTCATCCTCTGGGGTCCATTCTCTTAACCCTCCTCCGCAATGGAAACAATTAACTCGGTCGCTACGGCCCGAATAAAAGAGCCCTGCATCGGCCATTTCTTCTTCAGTTTGTGCCATCGATAAAGGCCAGTCCTTGAAGGTTTCTAACCTGGCTGCGTAGCTCACATAGTTCTTGTATGTTGGGCCCGCAGGTCTGTTGAGATTGACTTGGTCTAACTGAATGGATATTGAGTCGACATCTGTAGCTGGTGCTTGGTGACCGATTTCGAATACACCTTCAGGAGCAACACGGGGTATATTCCCGCAAGGGAGATTCTGTATAAAACGACAAGTAGGTCGCCAACGTTGGTGTTCTATGCGTGGATCACGCCCTGCGTCCAAAAGTCCCAAGGTTAATGCGCAGCAAAAACACCTTATATTGCTGCCGTCTCCGATATAGTAGAATCCCGCGGCGGCTAATTGCCTTGGGGAAACAGTTGGATCAGGCCATCTTTGATAGCTGTTGAATCGTTCCTCCTCGGAGTGGTAATTGGGACTTCCCATTGATCCATTTGCAGGGCGGAATACTGGAAGCCAGGGATTGTCCATTGTCCTTTTACTGTTAAACTGCAAGGATTTTTTTTGTTAGTTTTAATATGTCTATTCTGTTTACTGCTTACTTCTCTTATTGCTTGTATTCCGAACGAAGGTGTAACTATTTCTTAATATTTTAATACTAATGCCTACGGGGATTTATTTCTCTTTCAGGAATATTGTTTTCGAAAAACCTAATATTACGATGCGTTTCACGTTGTAAGGTTCGAAGCCGTTCCTCTAATTCTTCCCATAACTGGTGTAAAGCCACTTCGCGGCCCAATAACTCATCCCTGCCGTGAACCTGGGTTGGTTCACCTTGTAGTTCGCGGTAATTTTCCTTTATAAATTTCCTGTGTGGTGGCTCCGAGAAATGATTTGCAACTCCCATTTCCTTCTGCAACTTAATTATCATTAATCTATTTAAGTATAACTATGAATATTTGGTGAGTATATCTATGTTATGCGAAGGATTATATATATATGTTTTGTATTATGATTAAATTAATATTGTTGATTCAGATGTTAAGACAGTATAGCGAGTATCAGCAATTGGATTTTTTCTCGACACACTGCACATGAGTATAGTTCATTTGCACATTCGGCGCAAGCCATCATATGTCCGCAGGGTGAGAATACTATTCTCATCTCTTCATTGTAGCAAATTTTACATAAGCGCCAGTCCTTTGCGCTTTCATCGGCCAACTTAACTCGTAACTCAGCTCCTTTTTCTTCGATATCCTTTTCTTCACTATCGCAGCTAGTGGATGGTGCTGCTTCCTCAACATGACTTGGTGAACTTATTTGTCGTGCTTCTTCTTGCTTGTGTGGGGTAGCAGGTTTCCTTACAATGTCATCAATAAAATCTAGGCCTTTGGTTATCAGCACAAAGTGACATTTCTTGAACCATTTCGCGTGTTGTCGCCATGGATCATCTTCAGGTTCCCAGTCATTCAGTCCACCTCCGCAATAATAACATATTGTTCGATCTTCAAACCCTTCATAATAAAATCCGGCTTCGACGAGTTGCTCCTTCGTAGGTGACATGGAGGCGGGCCAGTGTTTGAAACTCTTCAATCTATCCTTTGCGTTTGCGAAATGTGGATGTATCGGTTTTGGAATGTTGACGAAGACTTCCCTTAAGCCACCAATCTGGATCAGACGAACGGGTGGTGTTGTCTTTGGTTCCAAGCCCGATACTGCGTTAGGCCGAAACTCGTCTCCATAGTGACGTCTAGTACTTGGGATTTGGACCGTACTAGGGTCTACTCCAAGGGGTACATTACCACATCGTAAACTCCTAATGAATCGACAGTTCGACTGGTACCGATGATGATCTGATAGTGGGTTGTCACCCTCTTCCCATTCACATATTGAAATTCCACATTCGAAGCATTTGACCTTGTCACCTTGACCAGTGTAGTAGAATCCTGCAGCTGCCATCCTAACTGGGTCCATATATCTCAAGGGCCAATTACTATAACTTTGTAACCGTACTTCCTCTACCCGGTAGTTCATGGACGGTTGGTTTGAAGTGGCTATTGTAACTATCGGCTGGTTACTATCATTCTCGTTTAAAGATAGTTGATCCTGGTTAGTTGTTACAACTGTCGAGTTGCTATTATGGGTATATAAATTTCCCATTTCTGAAATGATCTGAATATTTGATTATTTATAGTTTTTCCTTAATCCTAGTGTTAATAGTTAATAGGATAATTACTCGCTCTCGCTTTCGCTCTCTTGCTCTGCAGACCCTCGTATTTCCGAATACGCGAGGCGATTAGGGTGGACGATTTTGTCCTTACGACCGAGTTTTATTCTAATATTGCCATCGGGCATAATGTCTATTACCTCATAAGGACCTTCGTATGGAAGGTGTAACTTCCCCTTTTTCTTACCCTTCAATAAGAACACATAATCACCTGGCAGGAAATTTACTTCATTGGTTGTCCTGTCGTAATACTTTTTCGACCTTTCCTTGGCCAATATTAAATTTTCCCTGGCGAGAGATTGAACTTCGTGTATTCTGGTAGTGAGTTCAGTAATGAAGTCTTCGTACGTTATAGTCTGGTCCTCATAGGGTCTTCCGGATGGTAATCTTGCAGGCCTCCCATATATTAACTGAAACGGTTGATACCTAGTTCCCTCATGAACGCTGGTGTTGTAAGAGAAGGTGGCTAATTCTAGCCATTCATCCCACTCCTCTTCTTGATCTGCGAATTGTTTTAAATATTCGACTAGAGAATGGTGAGACCGCTCTAAAGATCCATTGCTTTGGGGTCTGAATGCTGTAGTTCGGTATCTCTTGATCCGAAAGATTTTTGCGAAGTTCTTCATGAGCTTGCTGATGAGATTGGACCCTTGATCCGTCAGAATAGATTTTGGAGGTCCGTACACACAAATGACTCTTTTGGTAAAAGCCTTGGCGATGTCTATTGAGGTGGTTTTCTTTAATGGTACTGCAATAACTAATTTAGTTAATAAATCTTGAGCGGTAAGTATATACATATTACCTGTTCTTGTCCTAGGTAATGGACCTACAATATCCATAGCTACCTTGTCGAAAGCGTTCTCAGGGGTGTCTGTTATCTGCATAGGTTGTTTAGTTTTTACCCTTTTTAACTTTGAAAGTTGACAGGATAGACAGTTCTGGATAAGTTTCTGGATATCAGCCTTCATATCCTCCCAAAAATAACGTAGTCTAAGGCGCTTGAAGGTTTTAGTGACACCCATGTGTCCTCCTACAGCTGACGCATGTGTTTCTCTAATTAGATCTTGTCGCTCGTTCCGCGGTACGTACTCTACTTCCCCTAAACACAATATTAAAGTTGTGTCCCACCTAGCGAACCATAATCGCAATAATTTAATTATTTGTACCCAAGGTTTACCATTTATAACCCTTGATTTAGACATGCTTATAGAGCGCAACTTAAGCTGATTTAAAGTTTGGCCCAAAATTTTCTGGATACGGATCCAGCTGAGACCTTCCTTGGAATCAATTATAATGGCGAGGTGGTGCTTCCTCCCTACTCGAGTGACAGTAATTTCACCGACATGAAAATTTTTCGCCCTTGGCAGTAACGATCGTTCGTACATTTTCTGAGATCCTTCATCGCAAGGTTCTCCTTTCTCGTTCAAGAAGTACAGGTAATTATTCCGTTGCATGTATAGTTGATCTCGAGTTTCTATTATGCAACGTGCCTTACCGGACCGGGTTGGTTTGAGGTCGAGGTCATCTTCTAAGCTGTCCACTTCTTCTTGGCTGTGAGGGGTTTCTTCTTCATCTGAATCTAATTCTTCAGTATTTAGGGCGTTGAGCACTTCATGGTTGTTTGTTTTTCCTTCGGACTTCTTAAGTTGTTTCTTAAGTCGGAAATCTGGTTCGTCATCACTAGATGCTACTTCCCCTTCAGTAGATTCGTCTTCTTCACTGAGTTCTGGATCTGCTAAAAGTTTTTTCTCACCTGTACGTGTGATTACCCTTTTGGATCCTGAAGTTGAAGGTTGAAAATCAGTTCCCGTCGGTCGACGTGTTGTTATATCGTTGGTTTGTGACGTGGATGGTTTGGGTTCGGTGCATGCTGATCGTAGAGCTGCTGCAGTTTGGGACCTCGTGACTGCTAACACGGGTGTGTTTCTTTCTATGACCGATATTGATGAGTCTCGATAATGTGTGTCATAAGGACTGAAGCGAGGTTGTATACGCGAATGGCGGTAAATGTTCCTGGTATCATACCGAGTTGGAGATGAAAATTTAACTAACTCTCCTGAGTTGTTTAATTTATTCTCTGTGTTTTTCCTCGCGAGGTTCTTCTTCGTTTCCTTATCCGTCTTGATAATATATGCGGGCATCGTGTCGAATTTATCGAGAATCTCTTCTTCATCAGGAGTTACCTCAGGTTGTATGGCTGGCGGATTCCTTGACAGGGCATCAGCGTTGACGTTAGTTTTACCTGCCTTATAAATTACTTCAAATTGGTACTCCTGCAACTTCAATCTCCATCTGGTTAAGCGAGATGTCGGATCCTTTGCGGTTTGCATCCATACCAATGGCTTATGATCTGTTACTAATTTAAACGGTCTACCATATAAATAAGGTCTAAACTGTGCAATTGAATGGAGTACTGCTAGAGCTTCTTTTTCATACGTGCTATACTTTTGCTCATTATCATTTAAAACTCTCGAGGTGTATTCTACGGGACGATCCTTACCAATGGGCCCTTGGCTTAATATTCCGGCTATAGCAATCCCTGATGCGTCAGTAGTTACCACGAAAGGTTGGTTTTGGTCAGGATATTGCAACACCGGTTCTTCGCATAATTTATCACGCAAGGTTTCAAACGCGGCTTGCTGAGCATCAGTCCACTCAAACGCGACTGATTTTTTTAATAAATTAGTGAGAGGCTTAGCTATATGAGAGAATTTATGTATAAATCGTCGGTAATAACCGGCAAGTCCTAGAAATTGTCGAATGTTTTTCTGACTTCGGGGTCGAGGAAAATTTTTAACTGCTGATATCTTAGTGGGGTCCGGGCGTACCCCGTCGGCTGAGATGATGTGTCCTAGGTAACACACTTCTCTTCGTAGAAACTCACACTTATCCGGTTGTAGTTTCAAATTAGCATTTCTTAGCCTTACCATTACTCGTTCTAGTTTCTTCATGTGTTCCTCTAATGATTTGGCGTAAATTACAATGTCATCCAGGTAGACGAAAATCTCTATTCCTTGTAACCCGGACAGAACTATATTCATTAAACGTTGGAAGGTGGCGGGTGCAGTTTTTAAACCAAAAGGCATTCGAATGAACTCGTAGTGTTTGAAAGCCGTCGAGAACGCTGTTTTGTGACGATCTTCGGGATGTACCTCTACTTGATGATATCCTGATTTTAAATCTAAGGTGGTGAAATAGATGGCTCCTCCTAGTTGTTCTAGGATTTCACTGATGAGAGGTAGCGGTTGAGCGTCCGCTTGCGTTTTTTCATTTAGAGGCCGGAAATCTAAAACAAGCCTATACTTTTTATTCCCTTGGGAATCGGGTTTCTTACCAACTATCCAGACAGCTGTGTTGTATGGTGATGAGGATGGTATGATAATTCCTTGATCCTCGAGCTCCTGTACTTGCTGATTTATTTCCCCTCGTAACGTTTGAGGATAACGATACTGTCGCGTAAATACTGGAACATCGTCGGTGGTCCGTATGCGGTGTTGTAATACGTTTGTGGAACCCAATTTATCTCCGGGTATGAAGTAACTTCCATGATGTCTTTTGATATGTTCGATAATACTTTCCCGTTCCTCGTTGTTCATATGATCATGCCTCAATAACTCTATTACCTTCTGTATCCGTTGCTCGTTGCGTTTTTCTATATCTTCAGGGTGGAGTGGTTCGTTTCTCTGGTTCCAGACATCCTGATTCTCTCGTGCTTCTTGCTCGTACTCTCCTTTCTGTTCGAATTCTTGGTCCAATTCTTCGTCGTTCATTGTACTAAAATTACCGTTTTCTTCTTTGAAGGTAATTTCGTCTTTCCTTTCCCCGTCGCTTGACACCTCCTTCTTGAGTAGATCGAGGTAACTCGATGTGAATGGTAACGAAGGCCCCGGCTTGTCATTTTCTCTGAAGCTCAAGGTCGTTCGTGCCACATTCATCGGATCACAGCTATTCATACTAATGTTGCCCGTTGATTCATTAACTCCCATTAATTCTGTAGGTTCTCCCGCGGATTTCTTTGGTTCGATTATCTCGGAGGTTGGTGCTGACAGAGTTATAGGATTCACTCTGCCACCATCATCCTTCCTAACAATCATCACAATTCCTTCGTTATTTTTTTCATTTATATTTTCTTCTGTTTCACTTTCACCACTCAATTCATCAAATGAAATATGCACTGACTCTACACTATCGGTATCATTATTATTCCTTTCAATCACATTATAACCACTCAATAGATCTACTTCGAATACATTAGTTTTTCTTAAATTATAAACATCAGTAATGGTTAAATTATTAATATCTCTATGCTGCATATCTTTGCAACTACTATTCATTTTAGTACTTCTGTAATCAATCTCAATTAAATTATTATTGTCATTATAACAAGTGTTACTAATGGTATTATCTACATTGATTAAACCATTACTCATATTTTTACACAAATTTATTTCATTATAATTACTTTGATTTCTGCAAGTTAACTTTTCCTTACAATTATTCGTTTCATCTGTATCTGTTGAATTACTAAAACTTTCAAACTCGCGACAAAACTTATTATTAATTGAAGGTGGTTTATCGTTATTTTCTTCATTAGTATTATTTTCAATTAATAACTTAATGTCATTACTCGTTTTAAGACAGAAATTCTTATCTGGCAATATTCCAGCATTAGTGTCTGACCCGCAAAAAGGGCTCTTATTATCGTTATTACAACTGCTATCAGTACCACCTTTAATTAATAACTCGTTATCATTGTTACAAAAATTATCATTAATATTGTTCTCAATTAACAAATCATCATTATTATTAT